TGCCAGTTTCTTCGGTCTCACAAGAGCACAAGCATTAATTGCAACATAACAAGAAATGTATATGTAATATCACACATAAAGGGTTTGAAACATCAATTATGGAAGAAATTCCTAATAATACTGTATTATAGTATGATGTTTTATGTATTTATTTTCCTTTTTTGTTTCTTTCCAAAATTAAATTATTTAGATATACAGGGTGACCAAAAAGTCGTGATACCATTACAATGTCTAATAAGTCTTAAAGAAATTATGATATTTTTCTTTAGATAATAGGGTAGCTGAAAAATAAGACTTTTTGGCCACCTAATATAAAAATAGATATATTTAGAAGGAAAATATAGGAAAATATACTTTCTGTTAAATATTTGTGTAGAAGAAGATGCACGTGGTTATACTTGAAAGGTTTAATATCACAGCAAAAGGCAAAAGGCAGCTTTTTTAAATTGGGTCAGTCGCGATGCAACCTGATACTAACAGTTTTAAGCAGACATCTGTGCACTGGGTGGTTCCTGTGACTTGGAACAACTGCTGCTCCTTTGCTGTATTCCTCATTCTTCAAACCATTTTAAGATACTGCACCATAGTCAGATTTCTGTATTATTTCTCCAGGACTCCCGTCATAATAATCCCTTCAAAACAAAATAATAATAAATTGGTCACTCAAACCACGACTGTTTATGGGACACTGCTGTGCGCAATTGGCTGCCACGTTTTGCCTATAAAATATACAATCACTACACTTTACAGTATATTCTGTGAAGCGCTTTGAGACATCTCAAACATGTGATAAGGCACTATATTAAATGCAAGGTATATTATTATATACATTAATAAATGCTGAGTGAAAAACATTGTTTGAGTGCTTCATTAATTGAAAAGCCCCTGGATATTGGTAATATGACTAGAGTACGTCATTGAGAGATGAATAAAATAAATTTATTTGAAAACATGAGAAATTACTACAAGTGGTCAGAGTAATGATCTCTATGCCTTTTTCTTACTGTTAACAGCAATAAACCAAGAGACCATTTACAATTAGTTGCCTCCAACAAAACCTTTTTACATCATTGAGCTTAAATTAAACTAATCTCTGTATTTTATACATTAATTCTGTACATGAAATTAACTGTATGATAATATAAATTAAGTGAGAGATAGATTATACGCAACTAGATCAATAGCACTGATCCAGTGGAATACTAGTTTGATGTGGAATACATTTAGGACCATAGATAATAATTCATGGAAAGAGAAAATGGCCTTAAGCACACTTCCATGTGATTTTATGGGCTCCATCCCAGACTTTATTTTCAAGGGTAACATTCTGCATTAATGCTCACTGACTTCCAAAGGTAATCAAGTAGAGGTATCAGAATATCCCTCTAGCCTACATCTCCGATATTGAAATGTGACCTTTTTCTTTCCCTAGTCAATTCCCCAGGCATCAGTACTACAGAAACTATCTGGTCCCATGGAAAATTTGCTCAGCTCTGTCTGTACATTTCCTAAATCCACCAATACTATACACAAACATACAAGTATCGAGTTGTTTTTAAGGGAGTTAAGCTGCTTTAATTGGTAACATATTTCACGTAGCCACAACTTTATGGAGAACAATATTTATTTGAGCATCTAATCATGTTTGAAGTTTATTCATTTTAAACCTATGCTCTCTAGTTCTGCACTAAAAGTCTAAGTCAAATATTCTGGTTATACATAAACCTCTTTATAAGATAAACCTCTTCATAAGATAATTCATTAAGTGCAAGCTTTAGAAATCATTCAAATTGTTGAAATCATGTAAAATCTCAATTTACTCGTCTTACTCTTGTTTTTAATGTACTGAATTAGGGTCTCTCTGAGCATTGCACTATGATTTTAATTGTAGATCAGGTGCTTCAGATGTAACTGTTTACTTAGTCCTTATCAATCACAGGAATATTTTAAACTGTTGTCCTGAGTCAGGTAAATTTTCAATATAGGCATTTCCAGTTCAAAGAACTGCTTGTTTTTGTCTGCACATGATGAGGCAGGTTTATGCATTCACCACCAGGTTGTGGAAGTACACAAGGACACATAATAATAATAATCCTTGCATTTGATATGCAACAACTTGCATTTTATAGCGCCCTTCACATGGGGTTGCGTCATGGAGCACTTCAATATATAGCGATATAGCACCTTATCATGCCTTCAAGACATCTCAAAGTGCTTCACAGAATATACTGTAAAGTGAATTGACTGTTTATTTTGTGGGCAAAACATTGGAGTCTTCCCACATTGCAATCCCAATGTTATCAAAATTGTCAGGTGAGTTATCCAGTTACAACCACTGCCGACTTCCTTGTGGCTAGTTACACAGTGACATCAACAATTATCTGGTAGCAAGCCAAGACGCCCATGCTCTCAGGCACAGAATGATGGGGTGATCCTGCCAATTGATAAGGAGGTAAAACATGTTCTTTGAATACACTGAGAAGCCGGACACAACTGCTTGGTTGAGACCAATTCATCAGATAATTCATGTAAAATCCCCCAAAAGGTCCACAAAACTGCATCTGGTTAATGAATTAAGATCACCCATTCTTCTTAATGAAAAGAATGACCATATAATGTTCTTCGGCATTTTAGTTATTTAGCTAACCAAAATGGGCAAAGTGAAAATTTCTGATACAATTGTTGTATCGAGCGCTCTGGGACACTCCCCTGCATGAGGGGCGCTGTATAAATGCGAGTTGTTGTTGGCCTTAATAAAAGTTTCAAGATATGGGTTTTCAGTTCCCATGGCTTGCTTTTTTCATGCTAACATTTTATTCCAATGTTCCATTTTCCCCACTTACTTTATTTTTAAAAGTTGAATGTATGCCCTGCGGAATCGCTTCTTTTACGGGTTGCCTGATCTAGTGTCTCCCGAGACAATTACCAGGCTTCAAAACCGTTGGCTGAACAGTTGTGTACTGTAATCCTTTTCTACAGTCTTTCATCTAATTAGTTGTACAGAGGCAGAGTAAACAGTAATCATGTTACTGCAAATACTGAATCTAGCACGTATTCAAGAATTGTTTCAGTGATAAACCCATTTGGTTAGCAAGGACTTACGGAATCTTTAGTTGGTTGTATTTCATTAAATAATATATTTATTTGTAACTATCTTCAGTTTAGCAGTGAATTCTAGGTAATTTCTAGTCTTGATTTTACAGTTTAGTGTCGAGTTTGGCTGAGAAAAAAAGTCTGTACAATTGGGTGCGACACTGAAATCCAATAGCGAAAAATAAAATACACTAGTCAGTGCGGTGTAGTTTTCATACAGATTTTTAAAAATATTATGACAAAGGCTGATGCTGTTTGAAGCTTCTCAACTAATTGAAATAGCTAAAATATCTACTGTCTCTCATTGAAATCATGTTTGCTTTCTTTCACTAACTTTGCACTGTTCCTTTGAACATTTACATTTAAAATGTAAATCACATTGGAAGGATAAGCAAAACAAGTCTCTGTCCCACCCCGACGGACAAACAGAAGTACCTTTGAGGGAGAGGTAACAATACATTTTAATAAATAGCGCGTACACCCAAAAAAATCAGCATGACACTGAACAATTTTCCAATTGAAAAAAGTAGTACTGTACTAAAAAAAATATAAGTTGCGACTCTCCATTTGATGTGACTTACGCAAAGCGTGAGTCGTGCGAAACTGATAAGCAATAGGAAATTCAACGGGACTCGGGCAGATGTCCGACTTAGGCGATTTATATGATTTACACAGATCAGACTTATGCGAGTTTTACCGTACGATGGGATGGAACCTCGCTCAGCGGCACAGAGTTAAGTCGATTTTTGAGTCCCAAAGCTCTCCCCTCCCCTCTCCCCAAAAAAACCCACAAGCAGTACGGTATTATACTCTGGAGAATCTCCTGTCCGAATGTTTATTTGAACGGTGCCTCCGCCTGGTCCCCAGGGCCACACCGACTGCCCAAACCGGATTAACAGCCAACGAGAAACTACTGGAAAGGCAAAGGCAAGTGGAGAACTAAATGCCACAAAACATTATAATAATAAGAACAATCCTCGCATTTGATATAGCGCTTTTCACGTCGGGAGGACGTCCCAAAGCGCTTCACAGAACACACTGGAAAGCGAACTGACTGTATATTTGTGGGCGAACGCGGCGGCCGATTGCGCACAGCAATGTCCCACAAACCGTCGTGGATTGAAAATGACCAATTTTATTATAGTTTTGGGTTTTGGAGGGATTATTATTAGGCTCTGTGTGGAGTAAGGAAACTTGCCCAAGGTTTGGCCCTCTGCCTGGAATTGAACTCAGGTCTCTCACTTGCGAAGGGAGTGCTCTAACCACTGAGCTACAGGACTCCCCACACGTATTGCGCAACTTCTTCGGGGATGGAGGGGGAGCTGTTAACCCTCCCCTCAAACCCCCCCCCCCCCCCCCCCCAGTGCGGTGCGGTGCAGTGGGGGCAACGGTCAGCGGCGTGAGTTTTCTCTCACTTTGGTGACTGGCGGCCTCCCCCCACCCGACCCGACCCGCGGCTCCTCGTGGGGAGGGGAGGGCAGGGCTGCCGCCCGGGGATTGGCTGCCGCCTTTCGGGCCGCGTGGGCTCGGGGAGACGTCTCGGGCGACGGCGCCGCAGGGGAGAGGCGAGGAGATTATTACTACTACTACTACTACTACTATTATTACTACTACTACTTATTTACTTGATGAGCGAGAGAGAGAGAGAGAGAGAGGGGAGAGAAGAGGTTCTTCGGGGGGGCGGCGGCGGCGGGTCCACCCTCCTCCCTCCTCCTCCTCCTCGGCTGGTGAGTCTGCAGCGCGAGCGGAGCGGGGAGCGAGCGCATGCGCACTTGCCCGGGGCTCGGGCTCGGCGACCGTTGGCGGCTCGAGCTCTCCGTCTCTCTCGCGCGCGCTCTGTCTCTCTCGCTCGAGCTCTCTCTCGCTTCTCCTCAACTGCCGCTCCGCTCCGCTCCGCGCGCGCCACAGTGGTCGGGGAAGGCGGCGGCGGCGGTGGGGTAATGGCGCCCCGGCCGGTCAGTTAACAGCCAGGGACTGAGCGAGCGAGCGAGAGAGAGAGAGAGAGAGAGTGAGTGTGTGTGTGAGTGAGCGAATGAGAGAGAGAGAGTGTGTGAATGAATGTGAGGAACGAAGGGAAGGAAGTGGGTAAAGATCTGCGGCCGAGAAAGTTAACAGCATAACTTCACAGGTAACTGAGGTTTTGTTTTCTCTGTGTGTGTGTGTGTGTGTTGTGTGTGTGTGAGGCGGCGGCGGTTTGAGTGGGAAGGAAGGAGGGAGGGAGAGAGAGAGAGGGGGAAGGAGGGAGGGAGGGAGGGGGGGTTTGTTTGAAGAGATTTTGTCTTTAGTTTCCGTCGAAGCTGAACTGTTGAGGTGACTTATTATTTTTTCTTCGCGTGCGCGGGGTCCTTGGACTTAACTCTTTTTTTTTTGTGTGGGGGAGAGAGGGAAGGAAGGAAGGAGAGAGGGAGAGCAAGAGAGAGAGAGAGTTGGGAATCTCTCTCTCTCTCTGGCCGGGGAGGGGGGGGGGGTTGGAGGGGGGGAGTTTATTTATGTTTTTTTACTCTCTGCTCTCTCGACTTTTTTTTAAAAAAAAAATCCGAAATAAAAGCGCTCTGGTAATCTTTTAAAAAAAAGTGTTTTTTTTCTCGAGGTTTTGTCCGGATTAGTTTTGAACCGCAGCGTGAGGAGGCGGTGGGAGTGGGAAATAACTCTTTAAATATATATATATATATATATATATATATGTGTATGTGTGTGTGTGTGTGTCTTGGAGGAGTCTTCGTCGACGCTCCCCCACACATTCCCCCGGAGCGAGCACTTTTTTTCTCTCTCTCCGGGACCTCTTCGCAAAGTCAGTGAGTCGTTAAAACGCAACGCGCCCAAGTGCTGGGCGTAGAAAAGTGCGGTTTGTTTAGCTCTGACGTCTTCTTGTTGTTGTTGTTGTTGTTGTTCTTTGTTGTTGTTTTCCGTACTTCTTTTTTTTTCTTCTCGCGTGCGCAGATGGAGAATTGCGAGCCTCCAAGGTAACCGTCCGTCCGTCCGTCGATGCGGCTTCTTGTCCCGAAGTGGCGAGCGGTCGGGTCCCCTGGCGCCGTGTGTTTTTGCGCTTGAAAGGCGATGAGAAGGAGCCGATGTGACGTCTCGGGGTGACAACCAGGCTTTGCCAAGGATTCCTTCCTGCTCGTCCCCTTAAAAGTTGTTTTTCAAAAGTCTCAATATGATGAAAACGGAAGGTAAAGGAGAGAGGACATTCAGGAGCGCTTCGCCCCACAGGAACGCCTACAAGACTGATTTCCAGGCTTTGAGATGCACCTTTGATGGGAGCAAACAGGAAAACCTCTCTAAAATGGGCGCCCCGAAAACTAACCGAGATTCCGAGCACAGGGAAGATGCGAGAGGAAGGGCTTTCGGTAACCGTGTGACTAAAATAAAAAGCATGTTGTTACAGATGGGAAACACACCGACTGACGCGACTGAAGTCAAAGTAGCCAGTAAGCCAGAGTTAAATCCACCCTCTCCCCAAAAGCAGTTGAGTGGAAGTGTACGTAAGAATAGCGTCCATAAGTCACCTCAAAAAGTGCCGAGCATTTCTGACAAAACTAATTTTGAAGATGGGGACTTGGATAAAATTGTCATGGCCGAAAAGTTTTCCGAAACCAGAAAACTTTTTGAGCGTAATAATACTAAGGACGAGAACCTGTTTGATAAAGCGCCAATCAAAACTGAGAGCAGAGTTTCATTGAACAGCCTCTCATCTGATAGTAGGAAGAGTGGCTCATCATCTTCAGAGAGTGGAGGAAGGAAAATGAAGATTGACTTGAGTCCAACAGCTGTATCTCACAGTGATTTGCCAGGTCACAGTAGTCAGAAAACCACTGATGATTCTAGACAAAGCATACCTCGATCATCTCTAAATGCAGGCCCAATTTCTAGACGATTAGAAAGTTTTCTGGCGGACAGTGACAACGATGAGTCAAAACCTGGGACTGAAATGCACATTCCTGGTGGCAACCAAAAAACATCTAGCACAAGTGAAAACACGTCCCCTGCAGGAGATTGTGGTATAATATTGACACATTCAATTTCAGCAAATATTTCTACACAACAAAGCGAAGATAAGAAAGAGTCCGATATGCAAATATATAACAGTTACAAGATAAGTGAAGGTAGTGTTTTGGAAACAGCTACATTTGGTGAAGACGCCAACAATTTCTCTGATGAAGCTTCCTCCAACAAAAACATTTCAGAAAGCAATGGTGCCCACAGCGTTGAATCTGGAAGCCATGTTTCAAATGTGGGTCCAGGTAAAGTAGGAGTAGTTCGAGCAGAATTAGTGGTAGTTCAGAATGAATCTTCAGAGAGTGAAGCTGAATTGGACAGTGATGTTTTTGCTGAGAAGGATACGCCAAAATCTGCAAAGCAAATTCCTGCTCCTGATGTTGTCCAGTCTGAGGGAGGAAAGGAAAATGAAACTTTGTACAATAAAGAGGATGCTAATCAGAAGCTTGACGAGACCACAAACAAATCAGATGACAGTGTGGAAGAGGAGGAGGAAGAAGAGGATGATAGTGAGAACACTGAAGAAGAGTATAGTGTTAGTGAAAATATGTTCTTGGGTTCAAAAGTTTGTGGAATAGAAAATGCTGCATTTGTAGATGACAAAGATGTTGAAGGGCTTGTGCAAGAAGAAAACTATCACAAATGTGATGGTGAATACTCAGCTGAGGAAGTAGATTATACACTTGATAATGACTATGAGGAGATATTGGGACTTTCTGAGGAAGAAGAGCCAGAGCCAAACAGACGAGTAAAATTCTCTACAGCTCCAATCAAGGTATGTTTTTGGTATTACAGTATTTATTTTAAAACATGAAGCTAATATACAAGATCAGAAAGAGTCAGAGACGCAAACGTGTTAACAGGAATTACAAGATAAGTGAAGGTGATGTTTTGGAAATTTAAATTTGGGGAAGATGCCAAAAGCATAAGAGAGGGAAACCTGAAAATATGTAATATTAAAATGGCATTGGAAGAAAATATCACTCAACAGGATCCCAGATATTAGTAGAGTAGCTTTTTTGAAGTTATCTGCTTCCCTTCCTGCCCAACAGATAAATCCTGTTTCTATTCATTTCCGTTACAATACTATTCACTCTACAATGCAGTATAATGAGCTTCAGTTAATAGAATGCTGGTCATGAGATGAGTTCATACATTTCAGATTCAGGCATTTTTGCTGTTAAAATCGATAGGAAGTTTAATCATAGTCCAAACTGAAATCCTTTGAGATCTGGATAAAAGTACTGGAGTTGCTAGCACTCTTGCCTATATGAGTCAGAAGCTTGTGGGTTCAAGGTTCACGTGGGGACTTTGTGCTCATTGTCTATACTCTTAACGTGTTGTATGTACTGCATTATTGGAGGTACCGTCCTTTGGGTGCATCATTAAACCAGTCATTTCAGGTGGATGTTAAAAATCCTATGACATTATTCGAAAAGAGACAAGAGTTTCTTTTGGTGTGCTGACCAAAAATCTCCCAAATAAAGTTGGCCATTTACTTCAAGGCAGTTTGTTGGCCAATTGGCTGTTGTGATCACCTAACAACAACTAAATTACATTTGTATAGGGCTTTTCACGTTAGGAGGACGTCCCAAGGCGCTCAAATGTCCCAAGCCTCTGAAACAAATACACAATCAATGTTTACTGTGTATTTGGTAGGTTATCACAACAGCCAATTAGCCCATACTGTGAAGATAATTTTTGATCAAAAAAATAAACTCTTTGAAGTTGGGATTTTTAAATAAAATGCTTTAAAAGTATATGAAAAAGTTCTTTCATACTGAATAAGTGCTGGCTTACTATTGATTCTTCTTTCAGACTGAAGAACCCTGCTTAAAATTGAAACTTCAGTGATCTTAGTCTTTCATTATGAATCTGAATTGAATGAGAAGAGCTGTATTGTGTTGGTTTGAACAATGACTGCAGTATTAGAAGTTGTGTGGCTAGGCCTGAGACAGTATGTACTTTTGAAAGTTTGTGAGGCAGATTCTTTAGTTAGTCATTCTCTGGAAATTATATTGGCAGACTATGCAAGTGAATTTATAAAATATAAAAGGTTCTTCTTAATTGTCTGTCTACTAAATGTAGGGAGTTAACTTCTGTGCATTCAAGTGAAACCGTGCAACTTAGTTTTTATTTTACTTTAGCTCAATGCTCATGCTTATTTTGGTTAGTTTTGAAACTAGTTTTGCTAAAATAGGCTGTTTGTTGTATGATTTTCCTTCACCATGCACCAAAATGTACCTCTGACAGTACATTGCCAACACTGTAAAGACACTTAGATTTGACTAGATTTTCCATTTTATGAAGTTGACTCCAACAACTTGGACCTCAATTCAGTTGTTTTTCAGTGTTTGGCACAAGGGGATAAATATTGTAATGTTGAAAGTTTTCTATGGATCGCTTCATCCATTTTGGAAGTAATGAGTAATCAAGGTAGCACACATAATAATCCTTGACACTGTAGTAGTTTTGACATTTCATGCCATTTCTTTTGGAGTTCCTCTTAAGAGTATTAGCCTCAGTAATATGAATTTGATCTGAGTTGCAGTGAAACAATGTTCAGTGATTTCAAGTGCAAGACCCTAGAAATTGAAATTCCATTCTGGTAGTCCCCTAAAATGTTTTAATTAGCCTCTTGAGCCAGAAATACAGCTTGAAAGAGCAGTATCAAATTTCAGAACTTCAATTTTTATCTTCTTTGTTAAGTTCCTTTTAAGAGGTATTGTTCTGATAAGAATGCTTGGGGGCAATTGTTCACCTCCGGAATGGCAGTTCATCATCAGCACTTGCTCCAGTATCAACAGCTGATTCAACTCCAGTTTGGTTTTGCTAGATCTGGAGTTGTGAATCTGTCTGTGGTGCATTACTAGCCTCTGGTGACAAACAAGTAAAGCTTTTCATATCTTGTGAATGCTTATGGTACAATACAATGGCGTTATTTTGGAAGGATTGGTTTATACTTTAATAATAATCGTTGTTTGATATAGTGCCTGCAAAATTTAAACACTTTTTTTTACAAGTAATTGATGTCAAGTGCAGTGACTGTCGTTGTAGCAAACATGGCAGCAAATTTGCACACCACAAGTTGTTGCAAAGAGCTTTGGAGTCCTGTAGCTCAGTGATTATAGTACTCGCCTTGCAAGCGAGAGACCTGGCTTTGATTCCCAGCAGGGCAAAACCTTGGGCAAGTTTCTTTACTCCACATGGCTGACAATAATCCCTCAAGAAAAAAATTAAAATAATAATTTGGTCACTCAATCCACGACTGTTTTTGGGATACTGCTGTGCGCAATTGGCTGCCGTGTTTCGCCCACAAATATAGAGTCAATTCACTTTACAGTATATTCTGTGAAGCGCTTTGAGATGTCTAGAAGATGTGAAAAGCGCTATATCAAAATGCAAGGATTATTATTTCATCCAGGGGATTGTTGGCCGAGATTCATCCTAACTCACCATTGTAAATGTAATCATTAAACAAGAATAATTATTTCAATAATCTTAAAGCGAGAGTAATGAAAATCTGTAATAAAAATGGAAAATATTAGAAGTACACAGGAGATTGAACAGTAGGTTAGCTTTTTGGCTGACACCCTTAATCAGAATGTAAGAGACCCCTATAAAATAAGAAACTGTGAAGGTGCAAAAAATGAGAATAAATGCTTCATTTCAAACTTGTCTGAAACTCAAATCTAAGCAAGTGATAGCTGCTTTAGTTTTCCTTCCGTCAAAACAATTATTTTATTATATTGTATAAAAAGTTGCTACTACTTCCTTCAGTTTGTTTACTATACATGCTCAGATTGTTAGTTTACTAACTTACATACAGTGATTCATTCTCACTTAAATAATTCTGCTCTTCAATGTTTTCTACACTTTTTATATTTCATTTTAAAAAAATCAACCTTTTAGGAATCAAACTTGCATTAATTATATAAGCCTTCTGTTAGACAACACTCTTGCTCTGCCAACCCTGTTCCATTTTTATATTAAATGACGGATATTGCATCATTCACCTCCAATACTTTTAACTTGGATTTATTTGTTGAATTTTTGTGTTGGCTATTTTACAAGTTTTGCTTTTTTCTTCTTGAAATAGTTTTTTTCATTCACTGAATGTAATCTCCAGTGAATCATGTCATTATCTTGGACTCTCTCAGTAATTCAATGGTGGTTATAGGTGGAAGTGACAATCACAAGCACACTTTCTTGATTTGGAGCCAGCCACCTTTGCTGGCCACCGGTAGACTGTGTGGCACAGCTGCCTGTACATATCAATCATATGGGTTTCCAATCACTGACTGCTGGGGAGGTTGTACATACCAGAAACAGTCACGACCTGGACTTTAAAACAACTGCACGTGTATGTATGTGTGTTGCCTGTTGTTCCAATACTGATAAATCTGCCATGTAACATAAATTGGACAAATTCCACAGAACTGGGAGTCTCAGGTATTATATAACGCCTTGTCTTAAAATGATTGTAATTATTTTTTTCAGTATTAAGTTAGCTGGTAACTATTATCAGGATTTGATGTTATCGTTGAAATCGTGCTGAGATCAGCAAAGTCTGAAGTGGACTGCTCATACTACAGAGTGAGTGATGAGGGCTACTAACACCATAGAGCGAGTGGTCTATTTGTCTAGATCAGTGTTTTACGGCATAAGATTAACATAAGCACACAGCAGTTAATAACAATAAAATAATCCTTGCATTTAATATCACTCCTTGTCATGTCGTTGAGACGTCTCAAAGCGCTTCACAAAATATAGTGATTTGACTATATTTTGTGGGCAAAACATGGCAGTCAGTTGTGCACAGCAGTGTCCCACAAATAGCCATACATGAAACTTGATATATAGGAAATCTGGAAGGTGAATTGATATCCCACCATTCTTACCAACTTTGAGTACCAGTATACAATGGTGCCACTTTAATTTGTTTTTACAAATTAACACCTTTCAAATATCTTGAAAAGGAGTTGATGAGACCTAATATTCAATCAATCCTATATTCATTTATGCTAACCTTTTTCTCACTTTGTTTCTGGTAAGAAACCGAGAATACAAATTGCCCCAATGTTTTGTTTATTTTAAGCTCTATGGTATCCATTTAGCAGATAAAGGTAAATTGTTTACCATTCTAAAAACAGTTATCCATTTATCCCAAATAACTACTCTTTCCAGATCCCGCTTACCATATGTATCCTAATCTTCCATATCTACAAAATGTAATTTAATTACTGAATATTTTACAATCAAACCGTATTTCTTGCAGAGTAAGCAGTGCAATTTAGGTTGCTTATTTTACCTGGGATATGATATAAATGCAAGTCACAATTACTAAATGTTTCATATCTCAGTAAAAATAGCAAAAAGGCGTTTCCCTCTTACGGAACTATTGATGGACCAAATACATCCCTTAGGATTTTACATAATATATATTTTGTTCTGAATACAGTACTCATTCCGAAAACCAATTCAGTTCCAAACCAAAGAATCTTGCAGTTGTGTAATTAATAAGCTCAGCAACAGGTTATTTGAATATAATTGCCAAACATGCAAGAAATGAGTCCAATTGCTTCAGCCTGAAGCAATGCACAGCTTTATAAGGGAGGTAATAGGAAAAAAAACTACAGTGCGGAGAATGGTTGCATTGTGTTTGTGCTGCTATAAAGGTATTGAAAAGCTCAATGAATAAGAGATTTTGTTTCTTGCATCCCTTCCCCAATTGTCAGCACAGTTGACTTTTAGTCGTCTACCATTCCAGCAGAG